GTTTTGCTCGCTGTTTATTTGGCTGAGATGCTGCCGCCCACCCCCCCTGTTAATCAGAGCTCCGCAGTCTGCGGGAACGTTTAAGAGCAGAGGCGGGTTCCTTTTTTTAAGAGGAAGAGTCCGGGAGCACCTTAGAAACTACCAAAATCTGTGGCCGGGTAGGGGCTTTCCTGCCTCGCCGCTGGCTTCTTCAGATGCAGCAAGAACGTGAGTCCATCTGTCCTTATTTCTTGGACAGAGATGGGCTCACATTCGAGCTTGTATCTGAAGAAGCCAGCCGCGAGGCAGGAAAGCCCCTGCCCGGCTACAGATTTTGGCAGCCCTTAAGGTGTTCCTGGACTCTTCCTCTTTGCTACTGCTGCAGACAGACTAACAGGGCGACCGTCAGGATCTTTTAAGACAGGGCTTGCATTACCCCAAAGCTGGGAAAAGGGAGGGAGGGATTCCCAAATGCAACGAGAGGTCCAAGGGAGCCTGCAGCCTGCTCCCATGATCTTAACTGAAGGTGAGTGCAAAGCTGCTATATTATTTATTAATTAAAAGATTTACACCTCCCCTTTCCTCTTGGGCAGCCAAGTCAAAACTTTCTCTCTTCGTTGCCTGGATCCAAGAGGAAGTGAGTGCTTCCCTCCTAAGGGAGGGCAGAGCCTGCCCCAGGGGGAGGAATGCTGCTCCCCTACAAAATTCCCCCATCACAGCCTCTTTCATCTGCTCCCTACAAACGACCAGATGCTTTCATTGTACCCATTTGTGGTCATCAGCCCATAATGGAGGAGCAGAGAAAAGAAGGGGCACAGTTTCCCCTTCACCTTGTTTATGCTGCAGTTCTCAGGCATTTGGTTTGGCCTGGCCCTGTCTTAACTCTGGTTCCAGTGCTATAACCAAATCAGGCTGGAATCTGGAAGCCTTACCTGCTGCTTATTAAAACAGTGTTTAAAATGGCGATTCCAACTGAGGAGACTGCAGGGCAGTGGCTTTTAGACTGTCGCGGGGCTACTCAGTGACCTGATCTGTGACGGCAGACGAGGTGCCCTGAATGCTGGTTATCCCACTGCGGGTACAGTCTAGATTACCATCTAAGGTTTCAGAAAGCCAGAGTTCCGCACCAACTGACTGAGCACACTAGAAACTGTCCAAGAATCTTCTGAAGAGCAGAGGGGCAAGTCCAGCTCAACAAGGAAAGGGTTCGCCACTGACGGTAGAATTCTGGGGGAAAGGGGAAGAGGAACACACCCTGAAAATGGTGAAGACAAGGAGATGGGCCAATAAAACCGTTAAGGCGAAAAGCCTTTCCTTAGAACTCCACATTTGGCTTTCAGAGTAGAAAAAGTAAAGTAAGGCAGACAGTGGCCCATTTATCTCTATGTCAGTCTTTCATTCTTTCACAAGCCCTCAGATTTGGTGACGGGTGCACAGTGCAACCCAGTACATGACCTTTGAAACACGTCAAACACAACTCAAAGGATTGCTGATATTCTTCATTCTTTCCCAATTCCTTTTCCGTCCACCTTCCTCATTTCCACAGCATAGTTGTCAGTATGCAATTCTCAGACTGATATTTGAGACATGCTGCTGACCCAGACGGTTTCTGGGCTGAGGGTGCAGACATGCCTGCACCCAAACCCAGACTTGGAATATGCATAATAAGTCATGTGGAAACACCAAAATCAGAACACTGCTCAGTGCAGCTGCTGTTCTCTGTAGGGACTCATGCAGAGCAAGGTCTTTCCCAACACTGCCTCCTAAAGTTCCCCTAGCAGAGGACTGACCCAGGGATCCTCTGCGTGCAATCCTGAACTCAACCACTGAGCCCCAGCACCTTCACAGCATTTATATACCACATTTCCTCTACAGCTCAAGCAGCTTCCAACAGTAACATAATGCAATACACCATGAAAACCACTGAAAATCTTAACCATCAGAGAATAAAAGCTAGTAAAATCAACAGAAAGAGAACAGCCCGTCTCTCAGGCATAACCACAGTACACACTGGCCAACAAGAACAGAGGCACGTACTGCACGCTTGTTCCTCTCTGTGCCTGAAGAAGGCCCAGAGGCCTTTTATCCCATCACCTTCCCAGTTCAAGCTCTCCTTCAAAAGGGAAGAAGCGTGTGGTGTTATCTGGTACAGAGACTGGTGTCCCAGACAGGGCAGAAGAAACGAAGAGCCTTCCCCAAAGCACAAATCGCACGGAGAAGTAGAGGAATAAGCTATATTCTCACCCTCAGTAAACCGCTCAGCAAGTTTTAAAATAAAGGCCTGTGCCTCCTTCCTGTTTATGCTCCAGGCTGTCTTCGGTGTGCTCAACCAGCATTAATACCTCCATGCACAGCAGGGTCCGGGTGCTCAGCAGCAAATCTCAGCCACTGTTACAAATACAAACTTCCTGCCTGCACCCTGGCAGGAATTTTAATGCATGGTGAAGAAAGAACAAGAATTTGGCAGCCCGGCTGCCTCTCTTGAGTACAAACAGAACAGCTGTTTTCGCAAGTGGTCCCTCACAAAGCAACACGGGAGAAATAAAACTGAATTCAGCCCTACCTGAGGCACGCTCAGTGTGACAAATGTACAGTTTCAGCATCAGAACATACGGAAGAACTGGAGAAATGGTGTTTTAGACTCAGCCACAGAGGCTCAAAAGCACGTCTGTGCGAGGAACACAAAGGAAAAGGACACAAGCAACCTCTGCTGCCAGCACAGATCATGGTTGCTGTTTTGGAAGAGAGAAGCTTGACTTTGGTTGCGTGAAAACCAGGCCGCATCTGCAAGAGCAGCTACTTGCAACTGGCCCAATTGTCCACAATGTCTACAAGGTCCATTTTGCAGATGGGGAAGAGTGAGGAAATTATTCAAGTGCTGATTATCTCAAACACTAATTGTACCACTGCAGGCTATTTGCGTGGCTGGAGCGCCACGTGACTGCAGCAACATCTGTGGTCTGCATAGCCCGACTCCCAGACTGGCAACTCCATTGAGGACTAGTGGCACGACCAGCCTATTTAGGGTCACTCAAATTCACCTGCTGTCGCAGCCGCCTCTGCAGCACCGGACCTTCTTGCTCAGGTGGTGCTGTAATTGGTCCAGTGTTCTTGAGCACTAGCAAAGGCAGGCGAGAAATACAGTCTCGACTTAAGATCTCCCAGGTCCAAGCAAACGCCACCCCCTTCAACATGGGCCTAAGCAAACCAGCCAGTTGGCAAAAGCGTCTGCTCTTCGGAGAGGCCCAGGCCAGCTGAGAAGACCAGGAGATCGTGTTCAAACAACATGTTGCAATGAATTCAGATCTTTAGCCAGATGCATCAGTGGGGGACCTGAAGGTGGGGAAGAGCGCCTGCGCAACCAGACGGCAAACCCACAGCCCAGCAACGGAGCACAAAGTTCACAACTCTGAAAACTTTCAAGTTCAATCGACAGCATCTCTAAATGGGAGGGTTACAGACAACGACACCGCAAAAGATCAGGGTTGAAAGTGCTGGACGAGACAGGCCACTAGATTGATTTGTAAGGGAACTCTCTATCCTCTTTATAATTCAGTCGCATTTACAGTATTAGCCAAAAGCCCTGGGAACACAGCTGAGCTTTGGCGGGCCGTTAATGGAACCGGATTAAGTCATGGTAATTAGATAAATCAAGAAGTATTTCGACTCAAAGGAAAAGACAGGCTGTGTGCCTTGCCTAGGGGAAGATGGCAAAGAAGGTTCCAAGGGAAGCGGTGCCCCCCTGCCTTGTGCCCCCCCCACCATCCCAAGAAGCTTGCCTGCTTTGACAAAAGTCAGACTGAAGTCTTTCTTGGTAACCAACAGCAAAACAACTCACCTTGTTTCTGGATTGTAGCCCAAGATGTAGAAAAAGGAATCCACCCGAGCTTTAAACTCTCTAGCAGCAAAAATGTCAGAGAAATGGGAGATATTACACTTCCCCCTGCAAGGAAAAAAAAAATGGTATTAGGCTCTTTCAGGCACATGGTGGCTCATGACAGGGAGCTGTTCCTGTTGGCAGCAGAGGAGAGGACTCACAATAATGGGTTTAAATTAAGAGCGGGAAGGTACCGGCCAGATATTAGGAAAAACTTTTACAGTCAGAGTTCTGCAACAGTGGGATCAGCTGCCCGGGGAGGTGGTGGACTCCCCCTCACTGGCAGTCTTTAAGCAGCAGCTGGACAAACACTTATCATGGATGCTCTAGGCTAATCCTGCATTGAGTTGGACTAGATGGCCTGTAGGGTCCCTTCCCACTCTGAGATTCTGTGATACTGAAGATGCCACAGAGATTCACAGCTCTTGCTCAGGTTCCAAAAATCAAAAGGGCCTCCCTGTTTCGACTGGCCACTTACTTCTTTGATGCCACATGCTGGATGTTAAACAGTAAAGCAATATTAAAGAACATACCGTGTTTCCCCAAAAATAAGACACTGTCTTATATTTATTTTTTCTCAAGAAGACACGCTAGGGCTTATACCACAAATGCATAGAAATCCTGCTAGGGCTTATTTTTGGGGTAGGTCTTATTTTCGGGGAAACAGGGTATTACAAAAGCTGCACGTGATGGTGGAAGGTGCCATCAACTCTCAGCCGACTTAGGATGACCACTTAGGATGACCACGTGAGGGTTTCAAAGCAAGAGGTGAAGAGAGGTGGTTTGCCGTTGCTCAAGTAGCGGCCTCAGATTTCCTTGGTGGTCTCCCATCCAAGTACTAACCAGGGCGGAAACTGCTTAACTTCTGAGATCTGAGAAAATCGGGCTAGCCCGGGGCCATCCAGGTCGCAACAAGTGTAAGCAGTCAAGATTGATCTAATCTTTCTCTAAAACTTTTTTTCCCTCTTAGCTTGTATTTTAACCACTACCCTTCAGGCAAGGGGCAATTTTTACACCCTCTGCCTTGTCCTGGAAACTTGCTTGAAATCATTTATATTTAGTGAAGTTTCTAGTCCTCGTGGATACTGATGCCCTTGCAAATAAGACATGTACGCCCCACAGTGAGGAGTCTAGCAACTGAGTTATGGCGAGCCTTGCGAGTCAACACAGGAAGGATTCCTCAAAACCTCACCTGTGTTGTCTGAGGACAAGGGGAAGCGTGCGCCATTGGAAGGCAAGACCAGAGCCCTGAAGAAGGCATCCCAACAAACCCTGAAAACACAGTCCATTAGAATGGTGCGGCATCAGGGACACAGAACTGCCCCACAACCACTACACAGGAGATAACTTTGTAACCAAAAGCATCTGCACAACACGCTGTGGCCCCGGCCAGACATGCCGGAAAACGCGTGGGGGAAGCGTGGCTATTTGCGCCGTCGCATTCTGATGCGCTATTATGCGATCAGACGCGGCGACAGCTTCCCCGCAGCAGCAAAGAGGACGACGGGGGAGGAAGCCGCACAATGGCTGCTTGCCACGGGCTCGCAACGGGAGTGCTATGCCTCCCAGATGTTCCCGTGTGATCGCGCCCGGATACTCCGCGGGACTCCCATGCCTTCAGCGGGGCAAATGCTCCGTGTGACCAGGGCCTGGGTTGTCTTCTACCAATGACTTCATGGGACACTAAAACATAGAGCTGGAAGGGACCCGAAGGGTCATCCAGTCCAACCCCCTGGACAATGCAGGAAATTCACGGCCCCCACCCCCCCGCTCCCCTGGTGACAGGCAAAAAACCTTCAGGATCCCGGGCCAATCTGGCCTGGAGGAAGATTCCTTCCTGAGCCCAAAGTGGCGATCAGCATTTAAGGAAGGGCCATGAGAGTCGAGCGCTGGCTCCTCCCTTCTTGCCCTCCCTCTTACGATCTGCCTAAGGAAACAGCTACAGAGGAGAGTAAACTACCGGTAACACTGTTCTGCCGTGCTGTGCCATTGTCCCCCAACAGCTTTGGGCAATCAATGGTAACTACCCCATGTCCTTTTGCATTAATCCACACAGAAGAGACTCATCAGCTTCCTGGTCAGAAAGGGGTGGGCCGGCTGCACCCACCTATGCCACCTTTTTTTCTTTTCCCTGTTGTACTGAACCCAGAACTCCATAAATCCACCTGCAACAAAATTCTCCTTTGATCCAGTTGGCTTCAGAGCAGCCCGTGATCCTGGCTATGGCAACTACTGGGGGTGGGAGATGAGGGATAGAGCAGTTAAGAGAAAGAAATACTTTTCTCCCTTTCTCACAATACAAGAACTCGTGAGCACTCAAATTGCTGAGCAGTTGGGTTAGAACGGATAAAAGGGAGTACTTCTTCACCTAAGGAGTGATTCACACATGGAATTCACTGCCACAGGAGGTGGCGGCGGCTACAGGCATGGAATTAGATAAACATACGGCGCAGAGGTCCATCAGCGGCTATTAGCCACAAAGTAGAGATAGGAGCTCTCGGTCTGGGGCAAGTGATGCTCTGTATTCTTGGTGCTTGGGGGGGCAACAGTGGGAGGGCTTTTAGTGTCCTGGCCCCACTGGTGGGCCTCCTGATGACACCTGGTATTTTTGGCCACTGTGTGACAGAGTGTGGGACTGGATGGGCCATTGGCCTGATCCAACATTTGCTTCTCTTATGTTCTTATGGGCTGCACCAGAGTCAGGTCAGTTCTACAAGCTTCTTCCGCCATCGCTCTGGAGCTCAACTGCTTTCTTGTTCACTGCAGTGTTTATATATTTATATATTTACAGAATTTACAGACCACATTTCCGCCCTCATTGGGGCCACCAATAGACTGAGAATGCACATAATAAAAACACAGCTTAAAAACCTCTAAAACCGAACAAAAGATGTGGGGTCAATTAAAACCAAGTTAAAATACAATACAATAAAATGTGTGTGTGTGTGTGTGTGTGTGTGTGTGTATGAGAGAGAGAGAGAGAGAGAGAGAGAGAGAGAGAGAGAGAGAGAGAGAGAGATTACACATATATAAAGAAGAGTTGGTTTTTACACCCCACTATCTACCCTGAGGAGTCTCAAAGCAGCTTACAATCGCCCTCCCCTCCCCACAACACTCATCTTGGGAGGCAGGTGGGGCTGAGAGAGTTCAGAGAGAACCGTGACTGGCCCAAGGTCGCCCAGCAGGCTTCAGGTGGAGGAGTGGGGAATCAAACCCCGTTCTCCAGATTAGAATCTGCCGCTCTTAACCACTGCACCACGCTGGGGTAAAACCAGGGCAAGAACGAAACAAGGAAGTCTTCACCTGCTGGTGGAAGACTCAAGGGGACAGGTGAATCTCCCGGGGGAGAGAGTTCCAGCGCTCTGGTGGCATGACTGTAGCGGCCCTGTCCCAGAATGTGAGTCCATCTGTCCTTGGAGAGAGATACTCACGTTCTAGCTGTATCTGATGAAGTGAGCAACAACTCAGGAAAGCTCCCACCCTGCCACAGATTTTGTTAGTCTTTAAAGTGCCAGCGGACTCTTTCTCTTTTCTGCTGCTACAGTCAGACTAACAGAGGTACCCATACTGATCTCAGAAAGACAGAGCACCCTAAGAAGGGCCTTGGAAGATGACCATAGTGGTCTGGGCTGGCTACAGTGTCCAAGATTCTGAGGGCATCCTGCCTTGTTTCTCCTGCTGCCTGGAACTCCCCACACTGGACACGTTCATGACACACTTCCCTCCCCTCTGTTCAAGCCCCACACTTTTATCGCTTTACTCAGCTCTGGTTAGACTTCACCTAGAGTATCGTGTTCAGTTTTGGGCACCACAATTTAAGAAGTATATAGACAAGCTCAGGGGTCATCTCGTAGAAAAAGAGGTGCAGGAGCTCATTAGCATAACTCATTAGCATAAGTTATTTGCATGTGCCACACCCCCTGACATCACCGGACATGTGTCAGAAGGCAACACCCACTGCTCAGGCTCCACTGGACTGTTTTGGATAGCTAGCTATGTGGGGGGGAACACACAGATCTGCCCTCACAGAGGAGGGAGAGCTTGTACCTGAATAAAACTTGGTCTTAAAGGTGCCATTGGACTGTTTTGGACTGGGGGCCGGGGGGGAGGGGGCTCTGCAACTTACCTGGCTGCTTCTTGTTCTGACTGAGGGCTGCTGGGAGCAGGGGGCGGGGCTTGTTGCATGTGCCCACCCCCTGGGCTCTTTACTGCCGGAGCTCCGCTCCTGTGCGCTCCTGCAGGAAATTACCCCTGGACAAGCTGGAACGTGTCCAGAGGAGGGCAACGAAGATGGTGAGGGGTCTGGAGGAAAGCTTGAAGGAGCTGATATGAGAACCATCTTCAAGTACTTGAAGGGCTGCCATACAGAGGAGGGTGTGGAGTTGTTTTCTGTTGCCCCAGAAGGTCGGACCAGAACCAACGGGTTGAAATTAAATCAGAAGAGTTTCCGCTAAATGTTAGGAAGAACTTCCAGACAGTTAGTGCGGTTCCTCAGTGGAACAGACTTCCTCGGGAGGTGGTGGGCTCTCCTTCTTTGGAGGTTTTCAAACAGAGGCTAGATGGACATCTCACCGCAGTGCTGATTCTGTGAACATAGGCAGATCCTGAGAGGGAGGGCCGGAAGGGTTGCCTCAGTGCTTAGTTCTTGTGGCCCTTTCTTACATGCTCAGGGAAACACCGATCGCCACTTTAGGGTCAGGAAGCAATTTTTCTCCAGGCTGTTTTGGACGGGGATCCTGGAGGTATTTTTTGGCATCTCCTGGGCATGGAGCAGGGGTCACTGGGGGTGTGGCAGGGAGGTAGTTGTGAATTTCCTGCACTGTTCAGGGAATCAGACTAGATGACGCTGGACATCCCTTCCAACTCTATGATTCTATGAAGCCTACCTTCTTGCCACTGGTTGAAGAAGAAGAGATTGGATTTATACCCCGCCCTTCACTCGGAGTCTCAGAGCAGCTTACAGACTTCTTTCCCCCCCCCCCCCCACAACAGACATTCTGTGAGGTAGGCGGGGCTGAGAGAGCTCTTTCCATAACTGTCCTTGAGAGAACAGCTCTGACAGAACT